GAGATGCGCAGCCCGAATCGAGTGGGGACTGATGGAGCGGTTAGTTCAATCACTATGCTTGCATCTTGAATTCTCGTTTCTGAGACACAGCACACCAATGCCAAGCGAGCTCAGTGTGAATGCACGAACAGCTTGTTGTCCTGCTTGCTTCAGACTACAGAGTACATTGAACACGGCCATATAGACTGGGTGTCGAGGCTTGAAGATTGGTTTGGAGACACTTGAGGCTCTTGGTGCCATGTGACACCATGTTGCGCTCAAGACCGATGCATAACGAACGAGTCGTCAGTCCTAACTGATGGGCCTACAAGGAGGGAAGTATTAATCGGGTGGGGAGAGGAGGAAGAAAAAGTATGTGAAAGACGAAGAAAGAATGCGTCAGCAGTAGACTGTTTTCACATACCCATCCTGCTGTATGCAGTAAGTAAGGCGACCAGGCTAATGGCACCGCGCGACGGTTGATATGGTGTGAGATTATTGTTAGTTGTAAGTTTCATGGTTGTACGTGGGCTGAGATACTGCCAGGGCACCCACACCTAGACAGGAGGACGATTAGGGTCCTCAACCAAAGCCTTTGGCTCAAAAGCCTGACGCAAGGCAGCGGTGTTTGGCGGGAAATGCAAATGCATTAACATTTCTACGGAACAAGTCGCCACATGTTCCAACCCCCAACCTAGAGGGCCAGGAGACTGTTTGTCAGACCTCTAACCATCGACTAACCTGGTCTGAGAGACTGTGAGTGTCACGGGGACACTCCAGTATAGCTCAATGGATCGCTGAGGTGCGCAAACCGTCACACCATGGTAAGGTCCAGTTTCTTCGTGACAGACTTGACCATCTCGCCTCAAAGAAGTATGGAAGCACTTAATGATGCATTCGGGTGGGCGAATCCTGCCTCAGTCACGCACTCAGTGACGCTTCTCCATTACCTTCAGTATTTGTCGAATTACTGTACTGATTCAGCAGGACCTAAGCAATGACGCCATCGTCCCTTATGCTTGGCTACATCTCTCCAGATCCCCTATTTCTCGGTGACCGAATTTGCAGTGGTTGGAATCAACGTTCTCTTGGTGCATAATCTGAAGCTAATAGACTGGACTGGAATTCTCAACTGCGGTTTATGTGGTTCTCCTTGCAAGTAGGCAATAACCTGGAAGGATACGGTGCGCAGTTGATGCCAGTGGCGAGCTTACTGTCACTTCTGTGCTTATTTCATTATTTTTTCGGAGGTGCGACCAACTTGTTCTCTGAAGACATATGTCGGCACCTCGTCCTTTTTGTAATCTACTAGTTTATTCTATCCTGGTGATTGTGGCTGTTTGACACAAGTATTTACCGTTGATGCATCATTGCGCACGTAAATTTTTTTCAAAATCTTCAGCGTGTAGCAACGATCATGAAATCGACTCGATATAAATTGAATCCTACCGTATCTTATCATCTGAGCTGCTACTGAGTGCTAAAACACATGCGTTGAGGAGCTTGAGATGGTCCAGTGGTCAAGGCGTGTGCTTCTAATCGGAAGGTTCAGAGTTCCGATCCTTTGACTTTCCACTGTTTCTGTTTAGACACCATTGGCTTGAGAGTACCTCTACCTCCGCGATCTAATCTGGTTACGTGGTAGCTTTAGTCACAAAAAAGGCGCAGCACTTGTTCTCAGAGGACGCGCGCTTCAAACTACAGTACATGCTATGTTGTTGTACAGCCCAGACTTGCCAACATCGAACGGAGAATGTGAAACATCTTCAGGTCTTTTACCACCGGTGCCTTCAAAACCATAGTTGGAATCTACTGGAACCAGGGAATTCGTAATGGGGTGATCAGCGATCAGGTCTTTGGTGAAGCAGACGTTGCTTTACTCAAATACTGAATCCAACACTACAAGCTAAGCTGCCTAGGTCATGTTTTTGCTCACGCCAAAAAATGCACTGACTTGCGTGCCTTATTTGGAATGGCGGGAACCTAGGGGTGGACAAAATTTGACTCGAGGGAAGGGAATGATCGGTGCTGTTCACCAGTGTCTGGCCGGAAACAGCTAACCGCTGTCGGCGGCGTTCATGTTGTCAGTCTCCATACAGTTTGTCTGAGTGCTAGAGGTGCAGACACTTTGTGGTATGCTTGCCTCAGTTCCCTCCCTGCCTCACCCTTTTCATTTGACATTTTTGGTCGGTAGTGAAACGCTAGTCTTTTCCTGTGGTGTTGCTGTCATTTATGACTGTTGAGCGGGAAGCCCTGCACAGTAAGATAGTTGAATTTTGTTTATTAAGAGCGAACATCGCTAATGCACTTGAAACGTACTAACAACGTGCACGTTTCGTTCCCTCAGTAGTCGTTTCTTCCCTTTTGCCTTGGACAGCTCATCTCAATGTGGTCTGATTCGGAGGTAGAAAAAATCATACAATTATTTCCTGAGGCACTCTTTTCAGATCATATCATACCCCGGCCTGTGGAGAATCCATATACTGTATGTCTGACTCCATTTTCATCTAATTGCTCCATTAGCAAGGTCATAAGGGAAAGTCCGGACGGCACATCAACACTACCGTGCCACGTGACGATCGGAAAATGAGTAAGACTGAAATGTCACTTGTTGACCCGATGTGGGAGCTGATCGATCCGGCGCCTGACGTGCGAGCTTTGTTCTTGCAGTTCAACTCCACGTTTTTCGATGGAAAATTGAGTTCCGTAGAAGTACGCTGGAGTCCTCGGATGACTCTTTGTGCCGGTTTGTGCTGTTATGAGGGCCGCGGTGGACTCTGTTCTATTCGATTGAGTGAACCTTTGCTAAAATTGCGTCCCAGAAGTGACCTTGTGGAAACACTTTTGGTAAGTTTGGGATCTTTTTTCGGGGTTTCATGCAATTCCCTTTTCAGCACGAAATGATACATGCGTTTTTGTTCGTCACACAAAATGATAGGGTAAGCCTTCCTTCTTTATTTGCTGAAACGTTTCTAGGACAGGGAAGGTCATGGACCTAATTTCCAGTTTCATATGAGGCGTATTAACGCACAAGCGGGAACGCGTATTACGGTAAGATTATTTTCTGATCTGTATTTGGCATCAGCTGAGGTTTCTTGGCCCGGACTTAAGATCATTAATTCTAGTATCTCAGAGGGCTTATACTCGCGATAGATCTACTTAGATACATTCGTTTTACCTGCAGACGCACCTCTTTATCCTAAATTCTATTTGAATGACCACTTCCTTATCATAACGAAAAATTGATTCGAAATAGTTATTCAACGTATCTCTGGTTACTATCTGAATTGCCGGCAGCGTTTCAATTCTGCCGGTGCATATAAACGGAACTCGAACGATACTTTTTTGCGGAAATTTTGCCGACTGAAATCCCAATTGATATTAAGATCTTTCAGACGGGTGATCTTCAGCAGGGTGTGTACTGCCATTTTAGGCCTTTTTCAGACTTCAGGTGGGTGGTACCGGCCAAGTGAGTGATGAAAGGCTGTTAGTGCTCACATGGACGGTAGCAATCAATGCTACATTAGCATACCTTGAAGCTTAAGACATTGTGTGCAATGTGCTGACAGTTCATTCTTTCACTTGTAATATCATGAGGTCTTTAGTAGCTCATAGTTCAAGAAACAACAAATCTAAGCCATCGCTGTGTGCCAAACTGCATTCGATGGGCGAAAGTACACGGGTAATCATATGCGGTCATTACTTTCCATATAATCTTTGAAAGCAACGCCCGTGGTTAATATTTGCACTTCGTTCAATTAATTGAGCCAAAAGCTATGTGCATGCGATGCAAACAAATGCCGCAGATATATGACTGAATGGAATGTTTGTTTCGTCCAGGTGAACGACACAAGGACATTCGTACATGTGGCCTTACGCAAGCATATCAGGACACTTGTACAACGTTTAAAACGTCATAACTCAAAAAAGGGAACTATTCCGTGCTCGCCATTGACTGAGACCACCTAGTGGGAAAATGTACGAGCTCCTAATGCACCCTCCTACGCGCGTAAACTGGTTGGCCGACAGTTGTCAATCTATAACCGTTCATCTGTGACACCCTTTCGGTGCCTAGCTGCCATGCCACCAGAAGGGAGCACAAGGGCTGGGATACTGCCAGGTCGCCCAAGCCTAGACAGGGTAAGTCGAGCGACAGAGTTTGGGTTCGAACCACGGACCTTTCTGTCAGTAAAGTCGTACTCTAACCACTTTGACCATCTCGCACCACAGTTGTCAATCGATAGACAGCAAATGCACTTCACCCCTGGTCCATTTCCTAATGTGGCTATTTTCACACGGAATTCCGTCATCAAGTGTAGTAAGCTCTATACCGCGTGACAGTTCCAGCTTTACTCCAGCTTCGCTAACAACCCAGTACTAAGGAGAAACTAATGCAAAGCACCCTCGCTTAGTTGGTTATACGCCAGTTACTCGGTCCCGTCCCTGCTTTTCATACTGATCGTGGGTATATTCGGTTTCTCACGGATGCCGCGAAAAATACCACCCATACTGATTATATTAGTCCACTTTTGACTCCGTGGGATTTCCCGTTGAGAAGCGCCTCCCAGTATGCATCCTTCGAGGCAGCCGCTTTCAATTAAGGTCATGGAACCGAACCACCTTCGTAAGCATTTACTTTTCAAGCATTCGGATGAGAAAGATAAACCGATTAACTTGTGTGAAAATATTAGTCTGTGTATAAATAGGCGCTACGTTATGCTCAAACTATTAGCAAAGTGTAACGAACAAGCTCGTTTTCGTATTGTTGATTTCAACCGGATCACTGGCCTTATTGACAAAAGCTGAACGATGCACAATATTAGTGGTGTGATCTCTACAACGTTTCATCCCTATCCAGCGAAAACTTTGAGTGTTACCCCACAACGGCACCTTCATTTACTTTCCCCAGATTCCCATTTAATCACTGAGCGTAAAAGGGTAGAGGAACGCGTGGTTCCCAGGATTTCCTTTCAGATTACTCTGTTACGTATTAGAACACACAAATACAGCTGTGGATCCAAGCGTGAAAAAGGCAGCCAAACTAGATAGGATAACACTATTGGTTAGCACGGCATCAAACAGATGGACCAAGCTCAACGGGATAGGGACGGGGTGAGTAAAATGATGCGTTCGGATGTGGGGTTGTGTATGCGAGTGAACTTGCAGATGGTTTCAATCGTGGTAGGTGGAGTGAGTGTTTAGAATGCTTTTGATGATACAGGATTAAGTTGTCCAATCGCAGTGACCAAATGTCACACACATAATACCAGGTTTTACTGATGACATTAGCCGTGATTGTTTTCTATTAATGATCCCGAAAAACTTTAATGGGGTCTAGCTTGTGAACCTCGATCGGGTGCTGGACAGTTGCTCTGTCTGTTGCCGCTAGTAAGCCAGGTGATAAATGTTCCTTTGTTCTACGACCGACTTAGCATTTCGTACATCCAACACAGGCTGCAGCAGAGCTGCTTAAGAAGGCAGCAGCGTGCGTATGAACAAGTCTTCCACGTCAATGAATAACGACCAAGTTACTAGGCCTTGTGTCCGGGAACTTTGTGTCTGAATTTGTATTGTCCCTAACTTAGCCAGTATAACTACACCGCCTTTCAGCTGTATGTTAGGACTTTTTGTCTGCTACGGCCACCTGAGGCTTTAACGACCAATTCTTTAGGTTGCGTGAGTTCAACTTCTCTCGAAAGTCAACCCACGATATCTAATAGTTTTTACTCGTGCTTTTGGGATTCCTGGTAATAAATGTCTGTTATCTTGCGAATGCAGTTTAATCCAATACGTTAAAAGTGAAGAGAATTTCATTAACACTGCTGATAAAGTGATGAGCGACATATTGCAGCACGTCGACCCTCCAAAATACCTTGTTTTCTCGGCCTCGTAGGCCTTTCTGACACTGTTTCCCAATATCTCAGGAATCATGAAGCTTCGGCTTTTTTCGCCAGTGGGAAACGTCGACCCCCAAAATACCTTGTTTTCTCGGCCCCGTAGGCCTTTCTGACACTGTTTCACAATATCTCAGGAATCATGAAGCTTCGGCTTTTTTCGCCAGTGGGAAAGCACGCCTTCCACTTGTTTACTCTCTACCAAGGCGTGCATTTGTTGGGTATTTTGATTTTGATTAATCGTTAATTAATGCGGTTGTTTTTTGGTCAGTCCGTTTCTTTTAATTAGCGCTGCTGAATCCACTCATCACACGAAGTCGTTTGGCCCTGATTCATTTTAAATCAAATATTGTAAAATCGCTGCCAGGCACCATACGCAGTGCCCCCATTGAACAGTGTATACTAGCGTGATATACTTTTGGTTTTCGGAAAAACAAGCCACATACCCACTTGCCAAGCTGACGTCATTTTGTTGGTTGTACTTTTTTTGTTATGTGATTCGAATACCGATGGACAGGTAAACTCCATGGGAGCTTACCCCTCAGTCGTGTTATGAGCTAAGCAATGCCGAGGTGTTGTAGGCGGTGGCTTGGCCAAACAACCCCGTGGGCCATAATCAACAAACTCAATCGCTTTGGCGGCTGTTTTTCCCAGATTCGGAATACAAACATGTGACAAATCCGTAGATGGAGACAGTGACAAATGTGGCATAGCCATTGTCTATGGTGCGTGATTATATTCGGCTGATCCACATACTCAACACTGAAAGCCACACCATTTTGAGAGCACTGGTGGTCGACTTCTGTAACAAACGAATGACAAGGTGGTGGTGTGATCTATTCGTAGCCTATCACAGACATCCGAGGTGGTTAAATCCTGTGACTTTTGTTCACCATCATTATCCCATCCAAAATCCAATGGTATCAGCCGTCAACGTCATCACCGGATGTACTGTACAACCTGTACACGGTTTTGGACTGATGATGAAGTTAGTGATTATGGTATCTATGTTGCAGAAAACTACATTGAATTCCAGTGAAACTATTTGTTTTTCTGAATACTGGAACAGCAACGAGATGGTCCAAGTGGCGAGATGGTCCAAGTGGTTAGAGCGCGAATTTACTGACCAGAAGGTCCGTGGTTCGAACCCAACCTCCGACACTCGCCTCCCCTGTCTAGGCTTGGGCAACCTGGCAGTATCCCAGCCCTCGTGCTTCCTTAGGGTGGCATGGCAGCTAGGCACCGGAAGGGTGCTACAGCTGAACGCTTCCTTCCTTCCTTCCTTAGCTACATTTAGGCTCAAATAAGTTCGTCATGAATCCAGCGCTTACCCAGCTGACTGATCCGAATCATATCATTTGGAAGAATAGATAGAAAAGCATGAAATTTGATAGGGACGCTCCAAAGGGCTTATCATGCCACTAATGTGACATCAGGGGAGTTGTTTCCAACTGTTCTCTTGTGGTATTTCGGGGTCATGTTTTTCGAGGGAAGGTAACGGATTCATCTCCTGTTGATAACGACTAGTTATTCACTTTCGGGTAATATAGATTGTTTGGGTGACGATTTGATTATTCAGTATGATGATACACCTGTAACGTTTATCTGACAGATTTATGTGAGATTTACCTCTTTAGTTGGATGGCTCACAGTTCGAACTCGAATCGTTCACCTGTAGCACCCTTTCTGTGCCTAGCTGCCTTGTCACCAGAAGAAAGCACGAGGGCTGGGATACTGCTAGGTTGCCCGAGCCTAGACAGGGGAAGTCGAGAGGCAGAGGTCGGTTCCGAATCATGGACCTTCCGCTCAGTAAATTCGCGCTCTAACCACTTGAGCCATTTCGCCCCCACAGTTCGAACTGCAACCCCATCAAAAACATTTGGCGAATCGTGGTGAGCCGAGTGTATTGAGGTAGTCGTGTCAGTTAAAGGATTGAAGACAACAATCGCAGAGTGGCGGAAGCTGAATAAAGGTTGTTTTTAGAAAAGTTGAACCAAACCGCTGTTGGAATGATTATCTCAATTATCGTATTTCTGTTCCTCCCTCGAATTCTCCTGGCTGTTTTAGTGTTCCCCCCCCCCCACCGTAGCGCGTTGCCCGACATTCATACAGTTGGCGCATTTTTATCATTAAAGCTCATTTGTGTCCAGTTTGCTTAGACTCGTCTCGTGTTTGGAGCTCCAAGTCGAGGGGCAGTGAGATAACCGGCGATCCCAGTAGCGCAGTTTACCCCATCGATTTGACAAGTAATCCGTGGTAGGTATGATGAGCATTAACCCTGTCAAGCTAGATGTCGCTCTGTTTTCGAAAAAGTTTGGCGACAATCGGTAGATTTATTGCTGGGCAACGTTTCGCTTTTGACACAAAAGCTTCGTCAGGCTAAGTGACTAGGTTCCGAGGTTGGTCGAGATTTAAGGCGGAAGGAGAACCAATCAGCTACGCCAAGCTAAATTTCTGTTGGGTGTCGGCCGAGGGATTTTAGTGTGTTAGAGTGGTTGAACAAGTGTTGGGTCGGTGGGGGAACCTACATGTGTCTGGGTCCTGCCTAGGGTCTAGTTCTTCTGGTTCGGTTCATTCGATGGTTCCTCTTGAACTTCGTTTGAATTTTCTGTTAGTCTGTGTGGGTGAGCTAGTGCTAAGAAAGTTGTGTAAGAGGGATGCTGTGACCTTTGGTCGGTTGGGGTTTCCACCCCCACCCCAATTGTCACCAAACTTTTTTGAAAACGATGACTGCCCAATCGGTTTCATGTCGCTCTGCTTCAACCATCATGCACTGCTACTGATTTCTTACTATGTCCATCGTTTTGTTCTCTCTCTTAGATCTATCACACATTTCATGATGAGGTGGCAAATTATCAGAATCACTGGTGGCGGTGCACCGGCCCCTGTCAGCAGAGGCCACCATATTTTGGTTATGTGAAACGGGCCATGAATCGGGCCCCCGGTCCAAACGATACCTGGTGGAGTCAGCACCAGGCCACTTGTTCGGGTAAGGCCCTCTTTGAACTGGTAATTTCTGTTTTGTATGATTGATCTAAAAGCGTGATTTAAACCTGAAGAAAGATCCTGTCTTCCATGTGGACGTCCTATGAAGGAAAAAATCGAGACGTCGCACTATCTTGAGTCTCTTCTAATTAACTACGATAAGTTTTTCACAATGAGAGTTGCTTGCAGAAAGAGACTTGCTGGTCAAAAAGCATTTGTACGTCCACGTGTAATGTAAGCTGTTGTCCTACTCGCTAAGTTACATAAAATGGACAAGCAGTGATCCTTCCGAAGGGAGGCTAGCACGAGGAATTCATCATTTTGGCGTCTCTCTCTCTCTCTCTCTCTGCGAACAAATCTTCGCAATTTTTCAGGAAAGTCTCTCAACCAACTGTTCGGTGTTCAGGTAGTACCAATCCAGTTCATATCGAATTGAATTTCTCTGGTTCACACCTGAAGTAGCGGACGTTACTCCGAATAGTTACCCGATTAGTTTGATAGCTATCGGGCCACATCAGGACTATGTTTACCTCTCGCTTTCCCAAGCTGACTCATCGGAATTTTGTCTCTTCTGAAATATAATGGAAATTTCTTCCGGCAAGTGAAGCCAATCTGTGCTACAAGCCAAAGCTATTTCACCTCTATTGGGAATCATCTGCTATGTCCATCTCACGAAATTCCCGAGAGTTTCGAACGTTCGACCTCTCGACTAGTGGTTTGAGCACTTAGCTGTCCGTCCACGAGTAGCTGATCAGCAGTGATTAATCCTCATTTAGACGGGACATGGTGGTACTCGTTCTCTAGGCACAGGATCCACATCACCTGGTCACGCTTGTTGGTTGGTCGAGGAAGTTCCTCTCGGGAGCATTGTATTCTTCCTCTTGGCTATTTATCAATTGTTGGTAGTGTGGGGAGATCTGGGGATTTTAATGACGGATCTCTGTATTCGTCTTTCAACACAAATAAGTCTGACTTAGTGAACGAAATCTTGATTAAAATTCTCATCATTCTCAATCCTAACTTGGGTCAAGCGATACCATCTTCTAAAATGGGCACAAATTAGTGAGAGGCCTACGAACTCGTACCCACCTATCCCCGAAAACACCCTGAAAAGCGGTTACTACTTTAATGTCTGCATCTGCCTTAGGTTTAGACAGTTCCGAAGTCACATTTCAGACACCTGTCTTGTTACAGTATCTTAATTTGTCTCTTCAAGGACAACCGTCAGCTAGCAAACCAAGCATAGATTCTTGGAGAGGATTATTGCGACGGATAGACTGTTGGAAACTGTCAACTTAGACCCCAGTGATGTCCTCAAAGCAATACAGAGATGCACTTCAGAGTATTGTTGGCTTAGAAATTACCCGGGCAGCGGAGTTGTCTCATGTGAACAGAGGTGGACAGTTCGTGGTTACTTCTTTTCAAACTACAATCTATCACCGACGTGTTTCGCGGTGACAGAACTGGATTGAACCCTCGGAGGTCACATGTGAGCTTGTGGAACGGCGTCCCACGAGATAGCTGTAAAATTGTGCATTTCTTCAATTAAACGGGACATGAATATGTAGAACTCTACCAGTGGAAGCTACTGATAAGCCTCCTTGCCAAGTCCCCGGAAATATGAGCCTTGGGTAGTAGGTAGGCCTAAGGATGTTTTATAGACGAATTGTATGTATTATTCGGAAACGAAATTAAAAAGCAGCTTACCTTGGTAACAGTAGTTGGCTCATTTTAGTGAATTGGTGGAAAAGCTTAACGTTTTTCTCCCAAAAAATTTATTACTGGTCGTATGGGTATAAATACGACTTAAAGCATATGAATCTCTGGGATGGGACACCCGAACAGAGCATGATTTCGACCGGCCGAGAGGATGGACAATCTTCTGGGAAGGGGTACCATATGTTCGTAACTTTCAGTGTTCTGGTTGTTTGCCAGTACAAAGAACATTTTGCCTATCACCACCCTCATGTATGCCTTGAGCTCCACTTCGAATGCAAGACGTTTGTATCAGCCATTCGTCTCTGGGATCGCCCCACTAGGCGAACAGTCGAAACTTGATTTCCATACACTTGTACGTGGGAGGTGATTAATTCATCAGTATCACTGACAGCAATGACCACATGAGATAGCTCGCATCTGACTGCAATACAATCATGCCATCAGGATCGCGTTCGGAAGTAATCGCTGTCACAAGCAGTCAGGTTCATTAGAGGTGCTTGCACCAGTAAGCAAAGTCAGGTCTAACCATCCTGCACATATGTGGGCCACGTACCAATCCTAATAGGTGAACAATTAACTTAGCCAAATAGAGCTGACCTCGGGGTCCATTCAAAGTGATGGAA